CCGCGCCACGCCCCATCACGCCACGCCCGGCCGAAGCTTTGAGATCAAAGCTAGTGACAAACACGCGAGCTAGACGGGGGCGAGGAGAGGAGAGCGGGGTGTGGAGGGATCTGCTGGTCGTTCGGGAGGGCGAGAGGTGACCGGAAGCGGAGGGGAGGGAGGGAGGGGGGAGGGTTTCCGCCCAGGGCTGCAGGCCAGATGTTGCTTCCTTTGAGGACCGAGGCCGAGGCACGAGGGCTGGCCCTGGGCTCAGCCAAGCGCGTGGCATCACCATACCGTGTGTAGCCATGACTTTGACCACCTCGTGGCCGTGACTCAGTCGTCTACTTCGAGAGTGCCCGGGGTCATAGCCCAATTTACGATTTTGTCGTATTTCCCGTAAATCAAGTTTGTGATTGCAAATGTGTCGTTGCTTCCCAGACCCTCGACGGCATAATATTCCGAATCAGCAAACTTCTTTCTTTTCTATTTCTTTATCTTCTTCTGAGGAGGGGGTAGTCACTTTTAGGTCCCTGGAGCAATAGTCCTCGCTGCGCTGCTCAGCCAAAGCCAAAGATACCGAGTGAATACGACCGCCTCTCCTCTCTTGCTTTGACCCTTTAAAAAGCGCCGCACTGGACTGTAGAGACCTCGCCGCCAAAGGGCGGGAGGGAAAGGGGAGGGGGGAGACAGGAGAGGAGACCCCGCGGCAACCCTTTTTCGAACGTGGTTCGCCGCGCGCCACACCATGGCCAGACCAAGCTCTCCAGCTCCAGCCCATACAGCAGCAGCAGCTGTGCTGGGGGCTTAGCTCAAGTGACCATTACTCACACACACACACGCACACACACATGCACAAACACAGCACGGAGTGCCACCACCATGTCACCGCTTGCCTGCCTGGCTCGTAGCGGCACGTACTAGCATCATATGAGCGAGCGAAAGGGCGAGCGGGGTGGGGACAAATGTGACGCGCGCGTGAGGGAGGGAGGGGGAGAGAGAGAGAGAGAGAGAGTGAGAGAGAAGAGGGGGCATAG